TGCCACCATATCTGGTTTATGCAATGCTGAGGGTTGAGCCCAGTACCTCATGCATGTTAGGCAAGCACTTTACCAGCTGGGCTATATCCTCAACCTGATACCCAATTTTTGAAAGATGGGTTTGAAATACTAAGACTCCATCCAAGGCTCAGCACTGAAGGGCAGAGTAGAGGAGTCCTGGCTCACTGGCAGTGGCGGAATCAGTCTTGGAAGACTCCCAAGTTAGGCTGCTGGAGGTCCTGCCTTACCACCTGGCTCTACGACCAGGCCTTGCACCATGGCTGGAGAGAAACATGTTTGTACAGGTCATGGGTACTGTTGGAGCTGGGACAGGATGGTGGATGGTATGTAGAGTCAGGGCTCCCCCAGTTCAGAACAGTGTGACTTTGAGCAAGTAACCTAGATTCAAAAGTGATCAAAATGGGTAAAGTCAACAAGTGTTAGAACACTGCCTGAGTTGAGTGAGTATCTGGAGTGCTGCAGCTCATAACAAACAGGGGACCAAACCCTTGTACAGAGATCCTGTTCTGAAAAAATTGGCAAAAGATAAATAAGATGGATTGGCCCTAGTAGAGAAAGTGAAAGAGAGTGATGGGATTTTTAAGGTGGATAATCTAGGGTGCTATTGACTGGATGCAGGAAGCAAGCCATGAGGTGTCTGGGAAAGGGTTTCAGTCTGGTGAGCATGCTTATTGAAAGACAAGGAGGAACAGAGCATGCTGGCACATGCCCTTAATCCCAGCCACCCGGGAGGCAGAGGCAGTTGGATTCCTATGTGTTCCAGTCTAGCCTGGTCTACATAGTGAGTTCCAGGCCAGCCAAAGCTGCATAGTAAGGTTGTATCTCAAGCAAAAAAAATAAAAATAAGTGAGTGTGTGTGTGGGGGGGTGTAGGGGGCACAGGGCAGGTGCCTGAGGGAAGCACGTAGGGCCTTTGAGGTGTAAGAGAAACTAGGGCTTATATGGGAATGGAGTGAGAGCCGTTTGGGCAGGGTGAGCAGGGCAGGGTCTAGTTCAGCTTGCATTTTAGACACATGGACAACATGGCAGTGTGGACTGAGGCCTGGGTACAGGTCTAGAGTAATCAGGTTAAAGGGAAGGAAGTGACGGCAAGAAATCCAGCAGAGTGCTCCATGGATCCATGTCAAAGATGGCTGCAGGGTTTCCTCAGAAACCCAGTTTGGCTGTGAGGGGGAGAAGGGAGCCCAGAAGGATTCCAGGGCTCTTCTGAGCAATGAGTGGAGTGGCAGTTTTTCTGAGATGAAGATGGTGGGAGAAGCAGATTTCAGAAGAGAGATGAAAAATTGGCCTTGGACCTGTTGAAAGGGCATCTGGAAGTGTCAACTGGATAGTGGCTGTGTGAGCTGAGGTTTTGTAGGACTGCCTGGCTGGAGAAGGGAAGAAGGCTAAACACAAAGCCCTAGGAATGATGAGAAGTAAGTCAAAGACAGAGGAAGATGGGAGTGCCCATCACTGCTTATGCAGTGCTCTCTGCTCTGACTCCATAAGCAGATCACAGATTGTATTTATAGTGGCTAAGAGGATGAATTCTGCCTGACATAGTGGTGTTCACCTTTAACCCCAACTCTGGGGAGGCTGAGGCAGATGACTCTTTATGAGTCTGAGGCTATCCTGGTCTACCTAGTGAATTCTAGGCTAGCCAGGGCTATATCCTCAGAGAAAGAGGGGATGAGGAGGGAGAGAAAAAAAGAATAAATGGAAGGATGAATGAATGCATTCTAGGGATTAGAGAAATGATTCATGGGTTAAAAACGTTTGATGCTCTTCCAGGGGACCCAAGTTCAGTGGCTCACATCAAGCAGCTCACAGTTGCCTGTACCTCCAGTTCCTGGGGATGAAGCATGTGGCTCAGTAGTAGTTCTTACCTGGCATTTTCAAGGCCCCAAGTCTGTCCCTAGCACTGGGGAGCAGTGGGACAGTAGTGCATACCAGCCTTCCCTAAGAAGGTCTGCTTCTCACATTCAGGACAAGTGGAAGAAAACAAAACACAGCAACCTAGGGCAGGCAGGTGTGAGGTTTGGCATGTTGAGACATGGTGACTGGGTTGATAGGGAAAGGCTAGAGTCAGCTGCTTTAGGTGGGGACATGGGGAGGATCAGGGAAGGGTTAATGTTGCAGCACAGGATCACTAGGATCAGGTGGCAGTGGGAGGAGAAAGAGGGCCAAAGCAAAAACAAAAGACTGGAGCTTAAGCCTCAGCTGGGTTTGAATCCCAGCTCTTCCACATTCTCACTGTGTGAACTTGGACTGGTCACTAAACTCCATTTCAGTGACGGAGCCTGTGAGAGGCTTAATGAGTGAGGGATAGAGAGCATCACCAGGCAGCACATAGAGCCACATTGTCTGTTCTTAGTCATGCTGAGGAAATCCTGGTTAGGGTAGTTCCTGGGGAACGGGGTGCTGATGCAGAGACCTCGTCCTCATGGAGCTGCCCTCCTTAGCCATGCATGTGCATCTGCTTTTCCGTACACACGGGGGCTGCCTTGGTTACTTTTCTATTGCTGTGACACCATGACCAAGGCACCCTATATTGTTTATTTGGAACTTATGATTTCAGAGGGTTAGAGTCCATGAGACAGAGGCGGAAGGCAGAGGGAGGGAGAGATGGAAAATGAACACATCTGAGCTGAGAATAGTGAGAGCTTTTGAAAAGTCAAAGCTCACCTCCAGTGACACACCTCCTCCAACAAGGCCAACTTCTTAATTCTATACAGTTTTGCCAGCTGGGGACCAGTAGTCAAACATAAGAGCCTGTGTGTGTGTGTGTGTGTGTGTGTGTGTGTGTGTGTGGTGGGGGGGGGCATTCTCATTCAAACCACCCCACCACAGGGGTCCTGGTTCTTTCCAGAGCTGCCCTCCTGTCTGGCACCTGTTTCCTGAGGCCTTGCCTACTCTAGCACCCTCACATCACCCCACAAGCAGAGGTGAGGGTGGGGCTCCTTGAGAAGCAGAGAGCAGGCCACAGGGCCAGGTGTGGCAGCAATCAGGAGGCCATGGTGGAGACCACATATAGGTGTTGTTTGCTACCCCAGTCCCAGGCGCACCTTGGGTGCTGCCCAGTGAGGACTAGCTAGCATCCTGTTCTTTAACTTCCATACCTTCCTCTGGTATATGGCCCCACCTCTTTTCCAGGATGGCCCTATAAAGTAGAGATTATAGATAGAAGTTATCTGGGTCATAGTAGGTGTTCAGTTTGCCCACGGCACATGAGATGTCATAGCACCCAGAGAGCTCTCTTGAGGGAGGATGTGTGAGGACCTGGCAGGGTGGGGCAGAGCAGAGGCCATGTCTCAGCTCACAGGACAAAGTGTGACTTTGACAAATGTAGCAGGGCCAGCCTGATGGCACACTACACTGACCATCCTGAGGGCAGCCAGGGCCAAGGCCCCTGGCAGAGGAGTGACATGCTCAGGTTTGTGTTCTAGAGTGATCACTCTGGCCGAAGTGTGGAGGAGGAGCTGGATCTGGGAGAGGCTGAAGGCAGGGAGTCCAGTTAGGAGGCTGGTACCTAGACCAGGTGAGCTGAGAGGAGGGCCTGGCCCAGGCTGGTGGCTGCTGGGGTCCCAAGGAGGGGCTCATCCACAATGCCATAGAAGCTGGGGAACAAAGCTCCTGCTTAGGCTTCTGGCTCAGGTAACCTGTGATGCCCACCATGAACCAGTGAATCCACAGGAGGAGGAGGAGGAGGAGGAGGGAGAGCCAACCAGTGGTGGCAGGTGATACCCAAGGTGCCCAGAGGCAGGAGCAAGGCACTCTGAGCTAGTCCTGAATCTGGCTTTAACTGCTGGCACAGAGCAACCAGGCCCACCTTGTTATCGAGGGACGAGCCCAGCTTTTCTGTCAGGCTCCCTGTCAGACTCCCCTCACCCCATCCCCATCACGCCTCCATCACTGCCCCTCACCCCAGGCACTTCATGGCTTGAGACTGAGGAGCTGCAGAGGGGCTTCCCCCACCCTTTGAACTGCCTTTCAGTGGGTGTTGTGTGATACCTAATGACAGTGTGTCTGACAAGCCCTCCTTGTGTTTCTCCCCCTGCTGCAGATGGCTGTAGGACCCCCTGACTGCCCTGTGGGTGGGCCACTGGCCTTCCCTGCCAGGGGTTCTGGGGCCAGTGTTGGGGCAGCCCTGAGCCCCCTGCCTCCTCCCAAGATGCCCCCCCACACGATCCTGAGCACCGTCCCTCAGCAGATGTTCAGCGATGCAGGCAGCGGGGATGATGCCCTGGATGGAGACGACGACCTGGTAATCGACATCCCAGAGTAGCCATCCATCCAGTGCTACTTGCCAGGCCCCGCACAGTGCTTCTCCCATGCCAGCACACTTGAGCCCATTTCTCAAGAGATGTTTATTGATGCTCAGTTGCCATGCTTCGGCCACTGACACAATCAGAAAAGGCGTAAACATGCACAAATGTCCCCGAGGAAGGTGGCAGGGGCCCTGCCCTCACATCCCAGCCCCATCCAGGGGACAGTGATTTAAATGAGTGGCCAAGAGGATCTTCCCCATCTTAGGAGGCAGAGACCCCGTGAAGGCCGTCCCTTTAGAAGAGCAGCTGAGCAGAGCTGGGACTTTTTCATGAAGGCTCTGTATTAAAGGGTTGGCTCTTTCTTTATTTGTCCTTTCCTCTTTTGGAAATGCCCTCCTCTAATCTCCCCAATCCGACCTCCTCCCTGTGCAGCAGGGGGCCGGGCAGCCTGGAGAGGCCAAGAGAGGAGTAGCAGGGTGGGGTAGGGGCACTGGCGGGAGACTCCCACATGGCCCTGTGCATGGGGTGGTTGCATATTTGCAGGTAACAGCAGGTCAGGCAGGAAAAAGTTTGCATATGTGAATATAGCTCTCCACAGTCCCTCACAAGAAGACAAACCCACATTCACAGAGACTCACAAAAAATAAGACAGGTAGTGTGGGGCAGGGGGCATCCCACCCCGTGTAAACGTGCAACACACTCGTGCGAAGGTTGGGTACTGGACCCGGCCCAAAGGGCCTGTGCTGGGCAGCTGCTGTCTGCTTAGGCCAAAGGGAAAGCCCCTGCTGCTGGGGGCAGCTCGCTGGTCAGGGTGTGCCAGCGCTCCAGGGCTGTGTCTGGCTGATGGAGACAGTCACTCCAGTGCTTCTGCGCCTCTCCCCTGGCTCCTGGCCCCAGAGACACACCGCCTGAAGAACAGCCACGGCATGCAGACCCAGTCATTGCCCATTCTCCTGGCCCACTTCCCTCACAGCACCCTGATGGGCTCCTCCACTCACCTATGAAGTCATTGGATTTGCCAATGTCATAGTCCCAGACTGTGACTTCCAGGGTCTTGGTGGCCAGAGTGGAGAGTTCCATCTCATAGAAGAATTCCTGAAAACAAGACAGAGGTGCTTTCTGTCAGGCCTAACCACATCACTGTCCCCAGCCCATCTTTATTTCTGCTCCCTGCCCTGTTTACCTCATTAAATTCTGGGTTTAACGTCTTCTTCTTTACACATGTTTTATGCTTGGATTTCTTGTCCACATCTGGTCTCAAGTACCTACGGAGAGAGGGGACAGTGAAGTTAGGGACAGGCTAAGCCCCAGAGCAGTTAGGCTGGGGTCAGGCTTGGGCAAGGGCTCACGTCTTCACATAAGGGTCAGAGTAGCCGTTAACATCCATGGCAGCCAGGTGAGCACAGCGAACAATGCCCACCAGCAGCCCATGCCTCCTGGAGCTGTAGCTGAGGCTCAGCAGGATACGCCCTCGCTCTTCCAGCAGCCCAGGTCCCTGCTCTGCCTGCTCTAGCTGCCAGAAAAGGAGGCGGGGTCAGAGGTCAGTCTAGGGCTTCTCCTGCCTCCCACCCAGACAGGGTTCTCAGATGTGCCTCACCTCCTTCAGGTAACAGGAAATGCCCCTCAGCGCCGCAGACATTGAAGAAGGCGAAGGAAGCTGAGGGGGCAAAGAAAAGGCTCTGACAAGCTGACCTCTCCAGGTCCCCTCCCCCATACCCATTAGCCCCACAGACCTACCGGAACCTGGCGCTCAAGACAGATGTTAAAATGCTTCTTCTGTGAAGGCTTGAGGCGGCGGAGGGGCACTCGGATCTCTCCTATAAACTCATTGTGGCTCAGCTTGTCCTCGTCACAGACGGAGATCCTGGGAGGGGAACAGCAGGGTCAGGGCCCCAGGGTATCTGAGCCCCGCTTGCTCACTCGCTCACTCGGGAGAGAGAGAGGAAAAAGGTCCTCCAACTAGTCCCAGCTCTGCCCTAAATTTGTCACCTCATCTGTGAAATGGGTGGGAGCTTGAGAAGGGCAATTGGATCTGCCCTGTCTGGCCTGTGCTGTCCTATATCCATCAAGAATTATCCAGCAGCACAAGAAGCTCTCTCAGCTTCTGGAACTCTGTTCCCCATCGGGGGACAGGTGCCAACTGAACCCCACAGGTATGGGTGGGTGGGTATGGCCACAGACACAGTGGTAGTCCCCAGTGGGTGTTTAGCTGCTTTACACAGCCAAGCACTCCTGCTTGACTTGGGTGCCTGTTTCTTCGCTGGTGGGGCAGGAAACCAGTCCAGGGTTAAGGGATGAGCAGCTATGGTATGAAGGTGTGTTGAAAGTCCAGCCCTGCCTATATTACCTGTGTGACCTTTGGCAAGTCACCTAACTGTCCATCTGTAAACTAGGGATTGAACATACCCACCTACTAAAACTGTCATGAAGTAAAGCAAAGAAATGCTCCCTAATAACAGGCTATAGTTACACACTCAGAAGGCTGAGGCAGAAGGATCTGAGTTCAAGGTTAGCCTTGTCAAAACAAAAAACTGCCTTCTGCAACCGTGAGGCTTCATCGTCTGCCCTGAGGAACATGAGGCCAATTTTGCTGCTTCAGCCTTTGTTTCTCCCACCTCTGACATCATGGTGAGCTCTGTAGACCCACCCTGATGACCATGTCTCTCCCATGATAAACCCTCTGTGGCCCCCCTGTTATCCAAGAATAAAGGATGAAGTCTCTCCCAACCGGAACTCAGCTCCACACTCCTCTGGAATATTTCTCACACCTAGGATGACAAGGCAAGTTCCCTGACTGGGAAGACTGTCCTCTTCAGAGAATATAGGTAGATATGGAACAGATATGGGCAGCCTGAGATGTGTCGGTCTAACTAAAGCCAAGGACTCTGAGTCAGGGTCTTGGAGAGCAGAGAAACCTTTCCAGGGGGCTAGAGAGATGGCTCAGCGGTTAAGAGCACTGACTGCTCTTCCAGAGGTCCTGAGTTCAATTCCCAGCAACCACATGGTGGCTCACAACCACCTTAAATGAGATCTGGTACCCTCTGTTGGCATGCAGGCAGAAGACTGTATACATAATAAATAAAATCTTTAAAAAAAAACCTTTTCAGAGGCAGGTTTGGGGTTGAGCCTCAGATGAATGACTGAGGTGGGCAGAGGAAGCCAAGTGGTAAGGCCTGCTGCTGCCAAACCAGTAGTCCTCTGCTAGACCAGTAGCAACATTTGGACCTGCTGGTGAGGGGGGACATAGGGAGATGGACCAACCAAAGGTCACAATGACAGCTATCCCAGAGGTGTTGGGCTGGAGGAAAAGCCCTCACCTGAGCACCTTGTGAGTGATGTCATCATCCGTGATTCCACTGTACGTCAGCTCCTCGTTCCACACAGGGTTCAGTGTGTTCCTCTGGGTCTTAGTTTTTAGTTTATTGGCCTGGGGCATGGGGACAAAGGACTCTGATGCATGGATCCTGGGGCCCCAAAGGCTGAAGGTGGGGGCTAGGAGGGACCCATAAACCAAGCCAATCCTGGAAGGAGACATACCTTGCAGGCTCCTGGCAGAAGGTGCAGCTTTACATAGGGGTCAGCCAGGCCATTGAAATCCATGGGCTTGAGGCCCTGGAGGATAGGTGTAAGGAGGGCTTTAGACTCCCAAGCCTTTCTCCCTCCTCCTGCAGGACTAGATCCCCACAGAGGACAGTTCCAGAGATGCAGGAGTCTGCTCTGGGTGGGGGGGAGATGGAGCCCCCACCCTAGGGTAGCAGCCCAGGAAGGAGAGATGCACACCTTGGCCCTGAGGACTCTACAGTGCAGAGTGCAGGAAGCCTGATCATAGAGAAGGTCAAATTCCAGTGTGCCCAGGGCAGCTGCAGAAAAGGGAAGAGAAGTCAAGTGCATGAGACCTAGTGGCTAGAAGAATGTGTCCACATCTCGGCTGGCTTACCAGTGTGTGTGTGTGCAAGAGGCTGAGCATCCATGTGCATGCCTGCGTCTAGGTCCCTGGCTCTCCCTGGCTCGGCCGCAACTGACTGTGTGGGTGGTGGAGTGTCTCAGCAGAAATATTGAATATTGAGCCTTGCTGAAGCTATAATCTGCACCCAGACTGCAGCTGTGGTGTCAGGACTGCCCTCCCTCCTCCCAAACCCTACACACACAAACACACACACACACACACACACACACACACACACACACACACTTAGGCTGCTCCCTCCCACAAGCCCACTGAGTCCCCCCGACTCACTGGTATCATCTGAGTCGTAGCTGTCTACCTCAGCTCCATCGTCGGGTGTGGTGGCCCCAAGGAGAGCCGCAGGGGGGGCCAGAGCCAGAGGGGCCAGGTGAGCAGGGGCTTCCCCACAGCCCCTGCCGCCAGCAGCCTCTGGTCCTGGCCCCCTGCGAGGGAAGTAGTCCGAGATCTGGCGGATGGGCCTGATGGGTCCAGGACACACGTTGATGGCCATGTGCTCCTGGATGTTGATGGTAATGCGATCACCCCTGCGGCCCCTCATGCAGCACCTCTGGCTGGGAGACGGGTGTAGAGCTGGAGTGGCTGGCTGGGGTCTGAAGGAAGCTCACTGCCCTCCCTTCCTGGGTGTCAAGGGAGAGGTGATCTGTGCTAGCTGATGGGCAGACAGGAGGCCTGGCTCCACAGGGGCTGGCTGGGTTGCCAGATCAGTCCTGGTAGACAGGTCATGACTCCCCATAACCCTGCCCACTACCTGTACATTGTCCCTCTGTCACCTTTCCAAGACTTTCCTCTCATCCTGGGTTCCCCCTCTGTTCCCATCCCCCAAGCCCCTCAGAGATGCCACAGCTTCCCTCCTTTGCTGCTGAGGCTCTGGCCATCTTCTCCATCAGGCGTGGGGCTGGTCAGGCTGTCACCCACTCACTAGGCTTTTCTTCACTCAACCCAAGCTTTTGCCTGCCTGCCTGCCTGCCTGCCTGCCTGCCTGCCTGTCTTCTACCCCCCTTTGCTTCATGGAAATATTGGTTAGAATCAATTTGTTTGTCATTATTTGAAGCCTATTATTTCTTCAGATGTTTCCTTTATTTTCTGTTTAATGACCTCTATCTTCTTTATTAATGTTTCTACTTTTAATGGTTCAATTTCTTTAAATTCACCTAGTTTATCACCAGTCATGATCCCATGACTCCTTGGTAGCTACAGCTCATTGCTTTGCCCAGCACAGAGGGAGAGAACACTCAAGTGCTCTGAACTGCGTGTTGCTATCTTAGGAAAGAATTGAAATTCAAAGTCTGATTTCTATGGAATACATGTCAATTGTATACCCATCAAGTAAAAAAGGCCCTGGCACCTCCCGCTGCCCCGCCTCTCGCCTTCTCCGGCTCCCAGGGCTCCAGGGCCCGACCACCCGGCCTAGTTGCCATAGCGACGCTGCTTCTCACGCACACCCCCAACCCTCAAAGCACCCGAGGGGGGAGGGAAGAGGGCAGATGTCCTACCCCTTGGTGTCCGTGGGCGTGGCTTAGAGATCCGCAGTGACCCAGGGACCCGCCAGGGAAGGAGGGACCTGCCTGCCGCTCCTGCTTCGCTGGGGAACCTCTTTAGAAAGAGACTGGCTTCCCCACGCCTCCTTCCTTCTTGAAACCCAAACCAGACCCCAGGAGCTGGGTCCCTTTACCAAAAACACACCTCCTGCCACCCTCTGCCATCTCCAGTTCTGTCCCTCAAGCAAGGGAGGACCTCAGGGCTTGAACTTGCAGTCATGAAGAGTCTACCCCGCACTGCGTCCTGCCTCACCCGCATAGCCTTCTGTCTTGTCTTTTAGTATTCAAATGATTCTAGATGGGCAGCTCAGGTGGTCCTTGAACTCCTGGACCTCCTGCCTCGCTGGGATTACAGACTATTGCTACTGGAGGCTTCAACACTAACCTTTAATCTTGTGTCCTAAACTTACCTCCTGGAAAGACCAAATAAATCCTCAGAGAGGCCCTTCAAACCAAGAACTCCCTGCCCACCTCCCGGCAGGTGACGCTTAACCTGCGGTTTCAGAGCACGCCCCCCCACCTCTAGGCCTCTGGGGCTTTGTTCAGGTCTCTGCTCCTGAGAACTGCCATTCCCAGGTCATTCCAAGTCACCGTTCCCAGCAGTCTTCTGGAGCACCCCCACAGACCCGGAGATCCCTCAGACTCAGATCTGATGACAGTTGTGTCTCCCTGTTTACATTCTGTCTCCTATCAGCCTGGGAGTTGTTGCAGTGAAAAGGGGCTGATTCATCTCTGAGTCCCAAATGCCCCAGACTGGGCCTGACATTAAGTCAGCCTCACTAAATATTAGGGCTCAACAGAGAAATTCTGCTGCCCAGCGTGTGACTGTGCTTAACACTGACTAGCTGTACACTTGAAGACAGTCAGGGGCTGGGAGCCTGGTACAGTGTGTGCTTACCATGCAATGGCTCCGATCCCCAGCACCAAATAAAAAGGTAACATGGAAATGCTATCTGAAAATGTTATGTGTCTGAATTTTAAAACTTTCTAAAAGCAGGAGTACTATAAAGTCAAATTACATAATACAACACCTGTCACCTATCAAATGGGCAAAATTCAAAGTGTCAGCACACTTAGCACACCGAGACGATGGGTAAATAAATTAGTGACGCTTCTGCTGCAGCAGGTCTGACACTTGGGTGCCAAGACCACAAATGCACATACTCTCTGACCCTGAAATCCCAGCTCTCTGACTTTATCCTATAGATATACCAGATGATACACAAAATAATAGAAGTTGAAGATTCTTACCTACAAGTTCTAAAAAGGAAAGAAATGAAATGTGCATGCTGGTTAATCAGCTATGACATAATTTCCCATATCAAAATAGTATGCAGTCAGGAAAAAGGAGATTTTTATATATTTATCTAGATAGATACAGAATCATCTTCACAATCTCATTCTTGCTTAAACCAAGATGCAGAGCCAGAGCAGTGCGCGTGAAATGCTGCCATTTGAATGAAGGAAAGACTTTACACATGTTTATTTGTGCATATGTTATTTCCAGAAGACTGCACAAGAAAATGGTAACTATGGTGACTGCTGGAGAATGAGATTGCTGTGGAGCAGGGAAGAACAAGCATAGGAAAGACTTAGCCTCCAACATACAACTTTCTGCATGCTTTTTGTTGTTGAGTCAGGGTCTTACTGTGTAGCCCTGGCTGGCCTGGAACTCACTCAGCAGACCAGGCTGACCTCAGATATCTGCCTCCAAGTACTGGGACTTAAGGTATGTGCCATCTGAATGCTTCTCAATTGTACCGTATGCATGTCTCTTCTTCCAAAGAGCACATTAAAATCATATACATTTGAGGGCGGGAGATAACTCAGATGACAATGGTACTTGCCGCACAAGCCTGAGTTTGCTTCCAGGAACCCACATGGTCGAAGGGAGGAAAGAATTCTTACAAGTTGTCCTATGACCTCTACACAGGGGCCATGGCACATGTTGGTACACACATACACAAGTCAATAAATATTCAAAGGTTTTAAATCTGTCTATTTGTGTATGCAAGACCAGACTCGGGGCCTTTATGTAGACAAAGTGTGCGTCCTTCCACTGAGATATAGCTCCTAGCCTAAAGTAGTTCGAGCATCCGTGAGTGTCCTTTCATAGCTCTCCAGAGCTAGGAAGGAAGCAAAGAGCTGGCCAGGCCTTCTGGCACATTCCTGCAACCCCAGTACTTGAGAAGTAGAGGCAGAAAGATTGTCCATGAGTTCTAGGTCAGCTTGGTCTACAAAGTGAGTTCTAGGCCAGCCAGAAATACAAAGCAAAGCTGCTGTTGGTCTGGATACAGGGGTAGGCAGCAAAGGGGACAGTGTGATCTGTGAACCCCCCACTGCTGCCTTCTCATAGTGAACAGCTTGGAACCATCCCAGCATGCCTTGCAAAGCCTCCCTAAAGGCAGGAGCCCAGGAACATGGCAGATAGGAATGAGCCTTACCAAATCAGAGTGGGAAAAGTTCTGCATCCAACATACTTATGTCCCGATTACCCTATCATTTCTTGAATAACTTCTATGCAACAACCTCCAGCCTCACAGGCCTGTAGGGAGATAGACAGACACACAAATGATTCCAAAAAGTGTGTTGGGCAAAAGGGTGAAGGATGGCCCAGCGCCTGGGTGCCTCAGGACTCCTTTCCTACAGGAAACGTGTCAACTGGCATTTCCAAGACGAGGCCTTAACTGGAGCTGGAGTGACTTAGGCAAGGTCTGCAAGCGTCTGGGAGGCAGTCAGGAGGACCTTGAATAAGCCTTATAAATGGAGGGCACACTTGTGATTCCAGCACTCAGGAGGCAAAGGCAGGATCCCAAGTCTGAAGTCAGCCTGGGCTATGAAACAATCCATCTCAGAAAAATTAATCAATGTCAGGCACTGATGGCACACGCCTTTAATCCCAGCACTCAGGAGGCAGAGGCAGGTGGATCTCTGTGAGTTCGAGGCCAGCCCTGATCTACAGAGTGAGTTCCAGGACAGCCTCCAAAGTAATACAGAGAAACCCTGTCTCAAAAAACCAAATAATTAAAAAAATAAAAATAAGTTAATCAATCAATTGATAAGAACCTGGAATATAAAGAGTGGTTTTGAAAGCAGTGTGGCTAAAGGCTAGGAGGATGGGAAATGGTCCCATGAAGGGCTTTGGCTTCAACAGGAGGGAAACCTCGAGAGGAAGGTAGAAAATCACATTTAAGATTTCTGCCTTGCCTCACCCTCCTCCCTCCCCTCCTCCCCCTCTTCTCTGAGATAGGATCTTGGTATACATCCCAGGCTGATGGGGATCCATGATTCTCAGCCTCTGCTGTGCTTGGATTGCAGTTGTGTGCCACATCCAGACAGATAAGCTTCTGTCGGAAATGGCACCAGCAGATGTTCACTTGGGGACTGTCAGGTAAGGAGAAAGATGATCCTCAGGTTCCCAGTAGACCATCTAGGAAAACCATGGAAAGAGAGGAGCAGGTCTGGAGTAAGGGAATTGAGAGCTTCGTGTAGGGTTATTGCACCGAGATGTTTTTGGACATGGAGACATCAAGCAGGAAGTTGGGGATAGGAGTCTGGAGCTCTGAGGAGAGGTCTGGGCTAGAAATATACATTTGTGAGTCACCAGCATATAGATGGTATTTAAAGCCGTGAGAATGGATGAGATCACCTAGGGAGAGGGAATATATATATGAAAAGAGAAGGCCAAGGACCAACGGGCAAGACAAGGCTGGAAAGCCGGGTGAGAATGGGTTTCTGTTGGAGCGAGGGACAGGGCACCCTGCTGAGACAAAATGAAAAGGGAAGTAACCCCCACTGGTGGAATCACCCAAGGGGCTCTAGTGAGGAGAGTGGAGGGGACAAAGCCCCTCAGAAGAGGCAGAGTGCAGGCAGCAGGTGCAGACTCCTGTCAGTTCTGTCCCTTGCACCTGCTGAGCTGTTTCACACATCCCAGAAGCAGAAATTTCCCAGCCGTCCTTCCTTCCCTCCTTCCTTCTCTCCCTCCTCCCTCATTCCTTCATTTCCTCCCATTTCCTTCTCTCCCTCCCTCCCTTCCTCCTTCCCTTCCCCTCCCTCCTCCTTCCTCTCCCTCCTCATTCCTTCCTTTCTTCCCTCCCCCCCTTTGGATGCGTTTGTGTGCACCATGGAGGTGGCTGTGGGAGGACAGCCTCGTGTATCTTCCTCACCTTCTGTCTCCTCCTCTGCTCCCCACCAGCTGGCCAGAGAACTTCCAAGGAGTCTTCTGTCCCAACCTCTCATCTCCCAGTAGGAGTGTTGGGATTACACATGTGCAGCTCTGTACAGGTTCTAGGGACTTTGTTTGTTTTTGTTGTCTCACTATGCATCTCTGGCTGGCCTCGAACTCACAGAGATCCACCTACCTCTGCCTCCTGAGTGCTGGGATTTTATTCCATGGTGGTGTGTGCCACCATGCCCAGTGGTTCTGAGTATTTAAACTTTTGCTACAAATCTTCTGCCACCCCTAGCCATGTCCACACCCCAGAAATCATGTTCTGTCTAAGCCATGAATAGAGTCCAGGGCAGCACAAATTAGTACATTTTCTAATGGCCAGACAGGTGAAAGAACAGGAGATCTACTTACTTTATTTTTTGTTTTTTGTTTTTGCATTGATATTTTGCCTGCATGTATATCTCTGTGAGGGTGTCAGATCTTGGAGTTACAGACAGTTGTTAGCTGCCATGTGGGTGCTGGGAATTGAACTCAGGACCTCTGGAAGAGCAGTCAATACTCTTAACCAATGAACCATCTCTCCAGCCCTGGAGGTGGGTTTTGTTGGTGGTTATTTTTCTGTGGGTAGGGTGTGCATATTTGTGGGGCCACGAGCATGGAAGCCACAGGTACATTTCCTCAGGACTTTCCACTTTGGCTTCTTGTTTATCTCTCTTAAGCAGAGTTGGGGGTTGGTAAAGCTGTTTTAATATAATTCAGAAGGACATACCTGAGTACATGAGTGTCTCAAAGAAGAATCTCGAAGGTAAAACATGCCCAAGTATGGGTGCTATCTATCCAAAGGGTAGCCTCTGCTGGGATCTTGCTATGTATCCCTCCTGCTTTAGCCTACATATCACTGGGATTTCGAGGTGTGCACCCCCTACCTAGTTCTCTAGGTACTTTTGTTTAGAAAATAAAAGTTGAGCCAGATGTCGGGGTGCACGCTATTGATCCCAGCACTTGGGAGGCAGAGGCAGGCAGATCTCTGTGAGTTCGAGGCCAGGCTGATCTACATAGTGAGTTACAGGACAGCCAGAGCTACACACTAAGACCCTGACTCAAAAAAAAAAAAAAAAAGAAAGAAAGAAAGAAGGAAAAAGAAAAAAGAAAAGAAAAGCAAAGCGCATAGTGGCAAGGCTGTTATGTGGATAACAGGTGGGTTGTTGAGGGAAAGACAGGACCCTTTAGCGAGGAGCCACCTAGGAGCTAGTGGAGCAACAGAGTAGCTAGGAGTCTGTATAACAAGCGCAGGCAATAGCGCAATCAAGGGAGACCCTGAAATGTCCTTGGCCCGGGTGGGATGGAATATATTTGTGATAGACAGGCCTAACTGCCAATCAGAGGCGAGCTACCTCTTACAACTCGAGACGGGGCCTGTGGAGTGCAAGTCGCAATTAGGAAGTGACACCAGGAGGACTGTGGGAACTAGAGGGGAGAGACGAGGATGTGAGGTATGTGGCTTGGTGGTGGTGGTGCGCACACACGCCACCAATGCCACAAAGGAGAAACTGAGTTACAGTGAGGTGATTAAACTAGGTTCTTTGAATGGTCAAGAGACTAGCTTTGGAATAAGCTGGGGGAGTCCAGTCCACTCTCGACAGCAGCCAGTCCCCGGAGAGAAGCCTGCTTGCCGCACCCGGTGTGACCTGTGGGAGAGATGATGGCACGGTCTGACGAACACTGCTGCCACCTGGTGGAAAAGACTGCTGTTTCGTCTCTGTGCGCTTCTATCTCTGCTAAGCACTAAGACCAAGTCTCAGCGCAGACCCTTGACTGCACTAGGGGAGCCCCAGATAGAAAAATGCACACCTTGGAAAGTGTAAAGCCTCCACCCATCTCTTCCCCTACACATTGGTTTGCTCCTCCCTCTTAAGGCTTCTGAAAATTACATAAGCCTAACAAAATTGCATTCTGTGCAAATTTCTTGGCATTTTAATAAGTATTCAATAAATAATAGTTGTGGTTGATCCAAAGGACAACTGGAGCTGTGTAGCCCACTTTACCTCCCAAATATAGCTGCTGCACAAATGCATGGTTGCATAGTCCTAGCTAAGTTCTAGGACACTGGTGACAATTGACTGAACCCAAGGCCTTGTGTATGCTGAGCAAAAGCTCTCTCTCCCTGAGCCACAGCCCCAGACCTCCACCACTGTTACTGTTGTTGTCAGTGTGGTCCCTGAGGATGAGGTTCAGTGGGCCCTTCTGCATCAGGAACTGGAAGGACCCCACAGTCAGGCTACCGGAATGGCTCTGGCCTGTGACATCATAGAATCCCACGCATTCCTAGCAGTGAAGGGGTTATGAAGCTGCGGCAGTGGGTGTCCGTATGGGTGTGCCTGTGGATGGCTGAACTGGGGACTGTAGAAACAGGTGGGAAGCTGGGGCTCGGGGATGCAGGAATAAAGGAGGCTTGAGAGCAAGGAGAAAGCTTGGCTGTGACCAGGAGGCCAGCTCAGCCTCAGGCCTTTCTCCCCACCTCTTCCCTCCCTTCCCCTCCTCTTCCCAGTCCTTTCCCCTCCTCTCCCTCTTTCTTTGTTTCCCTCTCTTCCTCCCTCGCTCCCTCTCTCCCTTTTCATTTTATTGTATTGTTTTCAGACAAAGATTCACTCTGTAACCCAGGCTGACCTAGAGCTCACTATACAGCCCAAGCAGACTTCAGACTTGCAGCAATCTTTTTTGCCTTTGCTTCCCAAGTGATAGAATTAGAGCCTTGAGCCAAGGCTCTTCAGCCAACCTTTCCCTTTGATTTTGCATTGGTGTCCCTGTCTCAGACTTGGTGGGCTTCTGATAGGAGCTCGGCCAGCCCAGGGGACAGAACAGGCAGGGCCCTGAGTTTGCCTGACCTCTGGGGGTAGGCACAGTGGGTCTGCAGGGCTCTAGTCACAGACTTTGCTTTGTTCCTAGCACCAAGAAGAGATGTCACCAAGGCCTCGACACCAGGAGCCGACACCCAGCTCTTCATAGACAGGCCTGACTTCTTTGACTACCCAGACTCAGACCAAGATAGTCTTTTTGCTGTGGCCCAGTTTATTGGAGAGAAACCTGTGACCTTTGTTAAGACAGGTATGAATCAGCTTGATCAAGGGGTCCCCCTCCTGGCAGGGCCTGGAGAAAATCTGCTCTTGTCTGGCAGGTTCCGGCCCTGGGCTCTTCCAGCACATCCTGGTGGGCATGTTGGCAGTGGCTTTCTTCCTCTTCCTTTTCCAGTTCTGCACACACGTGTGAGTTCTGTCCCCACTTCCTGCCCTACCCCTGCCAGAGGTCCCAAGTCTCCCATGACCCCTCCCAATTTGATCTCCACACTCCTCAGGAGCTTCCAGAAAGGAGCCTAAACGAGCTGGCCAGGAGCCCTGGACCCTGCTGTGTGCCACACACCTACCAGGTCTTCTGCTGAGAAATAAAGGCGGTGCCTCCTTCCTTCCTGGCTGAGCAGTGGCCCTCCATGTGGCCATCCACCCCCCCCCCCATCGCCTCCTTCCTTCCTCACAGCTCATTGGCCCTCTATGTAGTCATCGCCCTCCCTTCCCAGCCCCCCAAAACTGGACACGAGGGTCTTGCTGGCGTTCACGAAGATCGTCTTTATTAGCGGTCTGTAAAAGCACCTCCCAGGGTCAGTGACCCCAGATTGGAGGAAGCCGTGAGAGGTCTGTAGCACCAGGGACAAGCCAGGGCCCGAGGGCGAAATGTGCAGCCTAACGGAAGGGACTGGTGCCCTTGCCTGCCCCCAGGGTTGCTCAGCGCTGGGAAGGTTGTAGGGGAGCAATTACCTCCCTCCCCACACCCCAACAAATTAGAGCTAGGCGAATAAATAAATAAGGTTCCTCAGGTTGGTCTCCACAGGAAGGCTCTGTGGGGATCCCCTGCCCCCTGGTGGCCCCCTTGGGATGAGTTAGGGTGTCTTCTCTCTCCCAGGTGATGGGGAGCAGAGAGGGATTTGCAGCAGCGGAGCTGGGATGTCCTTGGCAGCGGGGCCACCTCCATGTCCCTTGACTCATTGGTCCCACTGAGCCCAGCTCTCCAGACCTCGGCACACTGTCTAACATTCCCTCTTCCTTGCATTTTGTGAGGCCGGAAGAGCCTCTTTATCCCGGTCCCCTCTCTCCCTGCCTTCCAATCATCCGACCTCAGCTCCTGAGGGTGTTTAGCTCCTCCCCGTTCTGAGTCCTTCTGTCTTGGGCCTGTCAAGGCAAGGGACTCCTGGCTCTCACCCCCCCCACCCACTGGCCCCAAAGCTCTGTCTCCACAGGGGCTGGGGAGGGGGGTTCCCAGGCCCCAGCCTCAGTCCTGAGTCTGACAAGGAGAGGGTGGTGGGGAACCTCGGGGTCGGAAGAGGCGGCAGGCCCCGCGGCAAATGAGGAAGAACCAGTAGAGCTGGGGTGCGAGCAGCAGCGCGGCGCCCAGGTTGACGTGGGCCGGGATGGCCAGGGGCACTGAGAGCAGGGGCAGGCCGGCGTGGCGCCCGTAGGCCCAGTACAGGTAAGGGAAGAGCAGCACCCGGCAGCACAGGAAGCTGAGCAGCATCAGGGCGCCGTTCACCTTGTGCAACAACGTGTGCTGCTGCTTGTACTGTGGACAGAACAACGTGGAAGGAGAGGGAGAGGCCTCTCTACACAGCCGCCTCCCCTGCGCCCCGCCTATGGCTCCTCCCCCACCCG